TGTAATGGAAACGGTGGCTGCATGACGTTGTTCTGCATCATGAAATTGACGACCGTTTGTAGGTTCGCCAATTTGTTTGCCATTCCCTTCATCTTGCCGTCCCTCCGCATGCATCTATCTTTCCATACCTGGAGGTCGTCTTCGTTGTAATACCCGTTTTGGTCTGATTTCTTTGGTATGTCGCCCTCTTGGCCGGCGTCTTTTTCTCCGGGATTCTGATCCCGAGTTTCCTTGTTGCAATTATCTTCATCGACGTCAAGGTCAACATGTTTGCCACTTCCAGTAGGGATGTCGTCCCCAACCTTTTATTTCTATCCGTCGTTGGCCATCTATTCTGTTTTCTTTCCCACAAACGGCGCCAAATTGTGGGTGTTGATTTCTGACCACACTACCAAACAAGTAATCAGCCGGAGAACACCGGCAGTATAGATTAAGCCCGAACAACCTATCACAGAAAGAAGAGATTCCGGCGGTAGTTCGTCCACCTGGGGGCACTCTGACGATAAAGTCAGTTATCTCTCAAATATAGCAAAAGTGCTTAACTCACTATTCAGAATACAAAAAATGTACTTTAGACCCACGAGGGTGTCTCTCTTTTATAGCCAATACTGACCTAATCCCAATAGAAGCCTAGCTTCAATGGACTCTGACTTAATGCTAATTCTGGACTCCTAGTTAGTTTGGGATAAACTTTCTACGAGTCTTATCTTTATCCAAACTGAAGTCCTCTCTCATTCTAGAACTTTTGTCCCTTATCCGCTTATTTCGGATTTTGGTATCTTCGCAGATAATCTTGGCCTAGCCGAGATTATCTCGGCGTCATGATCAGAGCACGTGACACCTCGACTGGCACTTCGGTGCCATTTCGATCACGTGTTGTTATTAAAAAATTATATCTTTACAGAAATATATAAGAAAAAAAAAGTAACTAATTATCTTTCTTTTTAAAAAAATAAATAATCAAAAAATAAATTTTAAAAGTTATAAAGGAAGAGGGGGGGTGGTTTTTTTTTTATTTTTTATTTTTTGATCATTCAACGTGTCAAACCTTGAATAAAGTTGTCTGTTGACCGCCCGGGGGTGGTTTGGGTTTGATCATTCAACGTGTCAAACCTTGAATAGGGTTTGATCATTCAACGTGTCAAACCTTGAATAAAATTAGACAGTTCTCATTACATGGGAACACGTGCACGCTAGAAAAACCACCCTGCTTTTGCTTAAGAAAGTTGTCCGTTCAACGTGTCTGTTCAACGTGTCAAACCTTGAATATTCAACGTGTCAAACCTTGAATAAAATTAGACAGTTCTCCTTACATGGGAACACGTGCACGCTAGAAAAACCACCCTGCTTTTGCTTAAGAAAGTTGTCTGTTGACTTTGGGTCTGTTTGGCATATCCCACTTCAACCTGAAAGCGGGGTACGGCACCGTTTTGTTTATTATATTAAAAAATATAAAAAATTTAAACACATGAACGTGTCAAGCGGTCTTGCTTTACGTGAAAAGAGGGTAGACTGAGGAGTAGTTACAAACAAAATATAAATAAATAAATAAATAATTGAAATTTATGACGTAGTGCACCAATTTCACAGGCATTTAAGGATTTGGCTTCTTTTTCGTTCATGATCGGATTAGAAGGTATTGTTAAATTTATAGAGACTTATCACGGGTTTTTTTTTTATAATCTGAATCGTATAATGTGTAAAAATCATCGAGTACTATATACTTTTTAAAAATCACGTTGATCAGATATCGATAGATACATGATTAAATCAGTTTTGTATAAAAAAATAGACAATAAAAAATAAACGATTGATAACGTGATTTTTTTAGGCTATGTTTGGAATAATCTTTTTTAGTTATTTTAGCTACAAAAAGACAAAATAGATTAAAAAGTCAATAAGACAAAATGTCACATCCAAATCATAATCATTTCATTTTTTCTCTCATAAAAAATAAAAGAACTCACAACAAACGAGATTTTTTAGCCCCAGAAAATAGCCAAAAAGTTAAAAAGTAAAAAAGTCAACCCACATTCCAAATGAAAGCTTATAAGCAAATAGCACTTGACGAGTTCTACACATTAAACGGTTTGAATTATCAAAATGAAACAGTAATGGGCCCTCACGGGCCAACAACACCCTCCAATCTAATCACGGACTGAAGGGAAGTCAATCTCTTTAAGATACTTAACTTTTATGAACTATCGGTACAATTTACCCTAAAGTTTATTTTTACAAGAAAAATGATTTTGAGACCAATAAAAATATTATAAAATTCAATCTCTATACAAATTTTTACTTATTTTTTCCCAACTAATTAAACCTATTATTTTTTATAGCAAAGGTGAATTTTATTTCTATTTTTTTTCACCTAAACCCATTCACTACAATTGAACTCAACAAAGAACGGTGGGGTGTTTCAGTTATTATTTTTTATTTTTTTGTTCTGTTTATAGCTTCTCCCTCAATGTCCTAAAGTCAACTTAAAAGCGTTACTCTACGCTCTCCACCTAAAGCAAGACCGTGGCGTGTTTAATTTTTTTTTTAATTAATAAACAAAACGGTGCCGTTGTGCTGTCATAGCACCAAGCTGCGACAGCACTGGCCCCGTTTTTTTAATTTTGATTTTTAAAACTTTAATTTTTTGTACTCTCTCTCTCTCATAACAGTGATTTTAAGTAAATTAATACCATAATTGAATCATAATTATTTTTTAAAAATTATTAAAATAATGTTAATTTTTTTTGTTAAACAAAATGTAGTTTAGTAATAGGCTATAGATGTCTCATTAATTTTATTTTTTTATGAATAATTTATTCAATAAATTTTATAATATAAATAATTTAAATTATTAAAATAAATCCAAGAGGCACTCTCACAGACTCACAGCACGGCGCAGTGCCTGGAGAACACCCTCCCCAGGTTGATAATAATGGTGGGTCTGGTCTGGTGGCGGACACAAGGGGGCCAGGAGACCCTGTACCCATTTCGAAAATCTTAATTAATATACTATACTTTATTTTATTTACAATTTGTGAAAGAGAAACACTATTTATATTGAACTTATGTGCACAAATGTACATAAGTTCTCATATTAAAGTGACGCTCAGATTTATAATTACCATCCATATGTGAAAGTTATATGTATCTTACGGCCTTGTTTAGGAAGCGGGTTGAATTAAAATAATTTATTTAAAAAAAAAATAGATTAAAATAATTAATAAAATAAAATATTAAATTTAATTAATAATCATTTTATTTTATTTTTTATAACTATTAAATCAATTACAAAAAAATATTAACTTTTCAAACACAACTTTTTAAATCAAATTAAAATATTTAAAAAGTCAAAAACCTACAAAAAAAAATAACTAATTTTTTAGACATTTTATTTTATTAGTTTATTCAACTTATTTGTCGAAACTTCTTTTTGTCAAATGAAGCGTGAAAATCCTTTTGGTGGTTTGTTTGTCCCATCATTGTCAATTTCCTTACGTAAATCATCAATTTTTTTTTTTTTTTTATCAGAAGAAAAAAAAGAGGGAATTAATCCCTACCAAATGACTCATCACTAGGGTTCCAATGGAGCGCAACCACACGCTTCAGCAGAGGACAAGTTGTCTAGAGCAGTACAAGACGTGTTCTCTAAAGAGATTTCAAACACTCCCTCCTAAAAATCGACCCTGACTCAGTGCTGGAGAAAGCACTGCATTCTCCACCAGGCCACCAACCCTGATGGTAGCTCAAATCATCAATTGTGAGAAAGTAAAGTTGCACTTTGAAACAAAAAACAAAATGAAATTTTCTGAAAAAACTCAAAGTTTCTAATTTTATGCAAAACATTTTTTAAAAAATTCAAAACTAACCTTTTTTTTTTTTCCCTTCAAAGGGAAAATTGCAAATATATGGGATAATCACAAAATAATTACACTATAAATGAGAATTTTTTTGGTACAACTCTGACATACAAGAAGAGTTATATTAAACATACGAATGAATTTATACTGTGCACAAAGTAGAGTTGCACCATCATAAAAATACAATTTTTTTACTACAGATTCACTAAAATGCAATTTTTTCTTTTTTTGAGAACATATTATTTTAATAACTTTTTGACTTTTTAATTAAAATATAAGATACAAAAATTAATATGTTTAGGATAACTTTTTGAAGTATATATAAAAAATAGAGAGTTTTTTTTTTGGGTATAAATTGTTGACTTTTTTACTTTTTAATAACTTTTTGACTTGTAAGCTAAAATAATGAGTTACCAAACAGGCCTGATTATTTTAAAGAATAATTGGATTCCTTCCGGCTCATAATTTGGGCTAAAGAGCGCCGTCCGAGTTTGTTAAACTTATCACAAGTCTCATTTTGAAGATCTGAACCGTTCATTTTGTAAGATTGTTTGCTTATATCATCTCCAAAAAAGATTAGGCGAATCTAATAATAGTAAGCTACTCAATTTATTGAGCTTATCACCGAAAAATAGATGGTCTATTTTAACAAATATGATAAATTAAATAAATTATGATTATAAGATTAACCTAATTGTTTTTGTAGATAATATATACAAATGATTATACAAAATGAATGATTCAAATCATCGAAATGTTATGAGCCCATAGGTTGGACAACACCCCCAGTCCAAACTATGTTTCAGATATAGTTCACAAAAAAAGTTTTTTGTGTTTTTCAAAAAATAAAACATAAAAAATTAAAACAAATATGTCAATTTCACTTCCAGAATTTCTTGAAGGCCATGTCTTTATGGAAACCACATCTGCAGATTAAAGCATTTTAGGGGAAAATAAAGCATGACAAACCAACAGCAGATCAATGCCAATCCCAAAGAACAATAGATTGGCATAATGTTTTAATATCAACCTTAAAAACTTTGGCTAACATACACTGAAATCATATCTATGATAATCTTGACCAAACAGATGAGAATCATCATACAAAAACAATTAACATTGATAATTATAAAGCCAAAAAAGTATTTACATTGGTAACAACCAGCTTCATACAATCATTCAAATCAACTTTTCCCACTAACAAGCGTTTCCTATTTGTATTTGTAATGAAAAAAAAAAAAAAAAAATTCTATAACTCAAGGAAAAAATGATTAGATTACAAAATAAAACCTTGGTTTATTCCGATTAGAGCACAAACATGATCAGAATGATCAATACAGCATCAGTCTATAATTCGGCATCCAAGGCACTTTGAAACAATCTTCCATATCGTTTGGGAATTTGAATGTATCATAAATGATTGAAGATTCTATTGTGGGGTATGATTGTGTGAGTATCGCAAACCTTGGACCTTGTTTAATTGATGAAGATGTAGTATAGATTATAAGCTAACGGCTTTTCTGCTCAACAGGCTGTTGATATGGATCGACCCAACATTTGTCGTCCTTCACTGCATTGTTCCATCTTTTCTTGAAAATCTGCATTTCCATAAAGGACTGTCTCCTCACCTGCACACATATCATCACTCAATGGTGCCCAAAGAACAGATGCAGATGAATGAAAACGGATGCGATGGAGAAAAATCATCAGTTTTCAGAGTAAAGGTCCTTACTATAAATAAAAAAACTGAAATAAACAAAGTGCTCATTTACACAAAAAGCCGGAAAAAAATCCAAGATACTAATGCAGCATATTTGCCATGAAACAAGAATAAAAAAATATCACTCCCTACATATTTTGCAATGGCAACATTATGACTAGTGCAAATGAATATATTTCAAGACTAGTGTTTTTTTGGAGGGATATATTTCATATATTCCCACGAAGATTTTCTCTAGTTCTGCATAACTTGTAAAATGCTCTTTCTAGTTCGATAATTAAAGAACAAAAAAAGAGCTTCATGTTACACAGTCTTGGGGAAAACTCAACTTCAAAAGTTAGTTGATGAGGTGGGGGTGCCCTCACTCTACCAAGGCAATGTGGGACTTTGCTTCACACCCTCCCTCACTTGCAACGTGCTCACCCGGCAGCACCTGCCACATGCAGGCCAGAGACACACACTAACCATCCTTGAGTTCTCCGGCTCTAATACCATTGGGTTGAGCTGAAAATGCCCTCACGCTTTACTTCACATTACTTTAGTACCAAGGTGACGTTGGACTTTGCTTCACACCACCAACATAGCATGTTCCAAGTTCAAAAACCATTGAGATGCAACTGTCCTTGCAGCTTAAAGCACATGATATAATATATATGTGCATAACTTCAGTTTCAATTTAAATGATTTAGTATTGTTTGCATACAGATCAAAAGAACCAACAGAATCTACAAAGTACTCCTAGAAAGAAAATACACTTTCCTATAGCGAAACCAAGGAACTTACTTCAGTTCTATTATTAACTCTGTGCAAGCCAGATGGTTCCTGCAATTTCAATGATGACAAGTTCTCAGTATCGGTTTAACAAGGAAATAAAATAAAAAGAATAAACTGCAACCTGGATCTGAAAAATTCTCTGTTTGAGACAAATGATCTGGTGATTTATAACTCAATTACATGAACAAGCACAAATAGTATTAGTAGGCAACCCAAAGGGCAAGGTTCATGCTGTGCATAATAGCATGATGGTTAGGTCAAATCAATTATCACTTTGAATTAATACAACATACTTTTTTTTTGTTCCACCTTCTGACACTGATTTTTTTGGGGTCAAATTACTATTTTTATTAAGACTATTATCAAATTTTTGGGTCATCTGACACATAGAGTGAATCAATGAGCATTGTGACCATGGAGGAGAAGAAAAAACATCAGGAGGATGGATGTAATAGTGCATAGTTTTGATAGGTCCCTAACATGTCAAGTGCCCTTCTCATGCCAATGCAATGTAGGAAACCCCCTCTCCTGTTATTATTTTAGTCCGCTTAACATAAATGGGACTCAAAAATCTTGAGCTCTAGGGTGGGAAACTTCCACTGGCTGGCTTGGTAGACTTACTGAAGCAAAGCCAGGCTTATGCTTGCATTGACAGCTCATGAAGCAAGACTTGGTGTAATGGAACATTTCTATTTTATAATTTTTTGAAAATTTTTGGAACTTCAATGTAAAAATTTATTGGCACAAATCATAAGACTTGTAAGAATCTACTGTATGAGTTTTCTATGGAAATGAATTGCTCACATAAACATGAGAATTACTTACCTTGGTGCCATCTAAAACACCAAGTGTTGGAAGACCCAAATGAACTATATACTCAGTCAACCACACCAACATTTTTTGTCCTATCACCCTGTAAAAAAAGTGGTCAACATATCACTACCGTCCACAAATCGATAGTCATACAGAGAAGTGGAATTAGAAAATTTCCTGTGCACAATAACCAAGCTGGAAATCCAAGCCCCATGCATGGATCAAGTCATTCTGTTGGGGTTAAAAAAAAATCATTAGAAAACAATAACAACAGAAACGGACAACACGCACTGCTTGTAAAAACAATCAGGGCATCTACTTTCCCTCATTTTTGACAAAAGCTATACAACTATGAAGCGTCTACACTCCAAAACAGGTGTCGTAGTGGTGTCGAACAAAACAAGGACATGGCAGACATGTATGGGACACGCCAGCTTTTTTATATGATTACATTAGCATGTATAATTTATTTTTTAAAACTATTCAAGTTAAAATTTACATATGCTTCCACAAGTATAATAATTAAAAAAATAATTTTATACATCTAAGTCCAATAAAAAATTTTTTTTTTGCCACAAGCGTAATATGAATTTATGACATATAAAGTCATTAATGATTAAAATAAAATGTAAAAAACTCATTTTATAGTAATTTAAAAATGTGAAATATATTGGATCATACTTAAAAATTTACAAAAATTGATCAATATTTATTTTAAAACCTAATAAATATGATTATGAAAAAAAAAATATATGCATATCGGTAAGTTTTTTTCAAATTGTGCGAAAAATAATAAAAATCCACAGTTCCGGTTACCGCAACCGTTACGCTACGGCCTTTACACCCTGCAACCACAACCGTACCATCACCACCATTACGGCGACCACAACCGTTTTTCAGAATCTTGCTTCCACTGGCTGGCTTGGTAGACTTACTCAAGCAAAGCCAGGCATATGCTTGCATTGACAGCTCATGAAGCAAGACTTGGCGTAATGGCGTAATGGAACATTTCCATATTATAATTTTTTTGAAATTTTTTGGAACTTCAATGTAAAAATTTATTGGCACAATCATAAGACTTGCAAGAATCTACTGTCAAGTTTCCTATGGAAATGAATTGCTCACATAAACATGAGAATTACTTACCTTGGTGCCATCTGAAACACCGAGTGTTGGAAGACCCAAATGAACTATATACTCAGAGTCAACCACACCAACATTTTTTGTCCTATCACCCTGTAAAAAAAGTTGTCAACGTATCACTACCGTCCACAAATCGAGAGTCATACAGAGAAGTTGTGGAATTAGAAAATTGCCTGTGCACAATAACCAAGCTGGAAATCCAAGCCCCATGCATGGATCAAGTCATTCTGTTGGGTTTAAAAAAAAAATCATTAGAAAACAATAACAACAGAAATGGACAACATGCACCGCTTGCAAAAACAATCAGGGCATCTACTTTCCCTCATTTTTGACAAAAGCTGTACAACTATAAAGTGCCTACACTCCAAAACAGGTGTCGTAGTGGTGTTGGACACGACAGGGACACGTTGGACACGTATGAGACACGCCAGCTGCTGTTAAATTAATTTGTTTTTTGGGGACACAACAGGGACATGGCAGGGACAGGCCAACTAATTTTCCTCCCTCTTCTTTAGTGCTTTTGATAGATGTTGAATGTTTATAACTTTTTGTTTAGATTGTAATGAACTAATGATGTATTGGATGATCTTCTTGAGAATTGCTATAACACACTTATTTTTTCACCCTTTAATACCACCGAATCATATGTCAAAATATTATTTGTTTTCATTAGTTGATTAATAATTATTTCAAAACAAGAGAACCAATCACGAGTATTCATGTAGAAGAAAAAAAACCGGTGACATATAGCATTTCTTTAACTTCTTTGTCTTAAGTTAACTCTTTATCATTTTTATCTTTTTGATGGATGATCTATTAATTATTTAAATCTGGTGGGTTTTTTTTATTATTTATTAATTAGTGTTAATTTTTTATTGTTTGTGGACATAATATTTATCTACGTTGCAAATAAAAAAATATTTTTTTATTGCCGTGCTTGTATCCTTATTTTTTTGAAATCACTGTCTCCCTTGTCTGTGTCTGTGTTTGTGTCCGTGTCCATACTTCTTAGGTGTACACTTTACACATACATATAAAAAAGAGACCCTATTTTAACCTAATAATCTAATTAAAGTGAAGAAGAAATCTCATAGAAATCATAATTCATTGATACTATTTTAGAACCCTCACCCATTGTTCCAGACAAATGTTGAGTACCAATTCACACATCATGATCATTGCATGTACTCAATCCAAAAGAAATAACCTATACCTGGAGCATATACCATGCACATCGCCAGGCTGCTCTTGAGAACACAGGTGCCATCATTTCCACCCAACTGCGTGACAAAATTTGTTTTATTGCATTAAGTATAAAACTTGTCTTTTCTCGAGACAATACATGAATTTAGTTCACCACGGAAAAAGTGGTTTTTCAGCAGTTAAAGAACCAATTATGATATGGAACAGAAAATTAAAGAACATTTTTAGGAGTTGTAGGCTGATGATACCCTATGCACGGAGGAGCTGTGCTGCGATCATCACACCTTCCACTGCCTTTAAGCTTATAGAACCTTCTGTTCAAGATGTAAATAAGAAAGGTTAAGATCGATTTAAGTGTCTAAATTTTTAAGAACAATGGCATATTTTGTCTAAAGAAAGTATCTATAATCCCTGTGATACGGTATCCATTATCCAATAACAACACAAGACATAATTCACCACACTTCTACACCTCGGATTACGTTGTCATAGTCAACTTAATCTGAAAAATTGTTTATGTTCCATGATCCAGCCACGATGAGAGAATTTCAATGGTCGAGCATTTCGATTAGGTCTTTTTGACCTGCGACATCTCCGAAGTTTCTTAGATACCTTGATCTGTACAGCTGGTCAGTACCCTTTGAGCTTATTTCCAAATTCCGGTTAATTATAATTCAGATTACAGCTATACTCATTCAGAAAGCTCTGTTTCTCTCTCTCTCTCTCTCTCTCCCTTCAAGAGTACTACACTGACCTGTGCACTTTTGAATTCCTCCGACGTGCAGTAATTTGATGATGCACCTCTGACTTAGCAGGATCAAGTGCAGGCTGGGATATTTCAAGTCCTTCATCTTTGACAATAGAAAGATACCTGCATAGATTTTAATATGTTCAACATATGATCATGAGGTTTTTCATCTTCAAAGAAACCATATTCATACTATTTGAAGTGGAGTTTTGTTAAAAAATTTCCACAGTTCAAAAAGGCTGTATTAGCATGGGCAAGATGTGAGACAAAATAGGCCGTAATATCACTATCTGGACTTGGCAAAACTATTGCCAGAATAGTCACAAAAAATATTAATGAGGAGGAATGTCCAGCGCCATTAAAGAGAAGCGCTAGCGAAATTTTCCTAGACACACTTGAAAAGTGTTTGCACAATGTTATGTAGCCTGAAAGTAACTACAAAACAGCTTATATTCTTTCTGGCCATGCTTATCACAGAATGAGATTACATTTATGTACATGTTTCCACACATCCAACCAATTGACTAGTTCACGCCATTTAGTTACTAGATACAAGAATGACCAATATTCCAGATAAATATTGTCATGCTCGGTATTATTGAAGTACCGAACCAGCCAAGCCTAAGTAAAAGCTTACAATAATCACTAAGGAAACTAAAATTAATACAAAAAAAACAAAATTTGCAAATCATACTAACCGTGCCGGGTCAAAATCTTGAACTCCAAGGTCCTCATCCCAAAGAAATATATAATCATATTCAGCTACTATGTCTGGATGTAAGAAACGCTTGGCAAACCACCTATGCCACCAGATGATCTTTATATATCCATAGATTACAGATACGTATTTTACATGAACACCCCACTTGGAGAGAAATGACTTGTAATTCATCAGGCAATTACCATTTTGTTTGATTCATGACAGATACATGTATGACGCGGCTACTCCACCCAAAATCGCGCCATTCATCCACAACATCATCGTAATGAAAAAGCATCACTACAAAATCACTTGCCAGAAACTGCAACAAAATGGAAGATGTTAGTCATAAATACAACCAGCAAAAGTCTGTGAGGTAGGAAGCCATTAGAGAGATATAGGCCTGTCACCTTTTCAACAATTTGTTTTACTATTTGTTTCAGCTTTATTCCAACTGCAATGGCCAATAAATTTACTGAAGGCTTTGAAGTGATCTGATTCAAAAAATACTAAAATAAGTATAAAGAAAATGAAAAAATAAGAAAGTTTTTGATTTATTTGAACCAAATAAAACTATCAGTGCCAAGAAGAAACATTTTCTTTTGCTTTCTCATTTGAATTTCCTTTTTTACTCCTTTTTTTTTTTTTTTTTTTTTTTTTTTTTTCTTTTTTTTTTTTTTTTTTTTTTTTTTTGTACGTAAGATTTGAAAATAAAACCTACACCAACCCCACCCTTTAAGGACCAGAAGTGCTCAGGAGGATTTATACAGAAAATTTTCTCAAGTCAGGCCAGGAATTCACGAGTCATGCTGTGCAAATGCTCAATAAAGAAAAAGAATAAACAATCCCCTAAAAACTTGTAAAATAAATTTTGATAACCATTAAATGTAGAAGATCTTAAACTATTAGTATATTAAAGCTTTCATTCTGACATTCATTGAGATATCCAGCTGCTGTTTCACATACATTTTCTGCAACAGGACCCCATAAAGGGCGCATTTCCAAGTTAGAATTTCTGGCAATAATTCCTTCTGGCAATGCCTCACTACCAACAGGCCTGCATTGATTCTAAAAGCAAAAGGGAATAAATTCAAAAGCTGGGAGATAAAAATATATATATATATATACCAAAGAACTTACAAGCAAAATAGCAAGTACACTTTGTGAAAGAGATTAACCTTGCATTTATTAGATTGTGTATCCTGCCTTGTGTGATTCATTTCCTCCCCTAGTGATATCTGAGCAAGCTGCTGTCATCAGATTTATTCCTCATAAATTATTTGTACATTGAAACTTTCAGACATATTTGCTTAGAATGAGAGATGTTCAAGCAAATATAAAGTACCCCTCAAATACAGATTCTCAAACATACTTAAGTAAAATTTCCAACGGACTTGTTCGTCCACAAAAAAAAAAAAAAAAAAAAAGAAAAAGAAAAAGAAAGGGGAAAATAGTCAGTTGTCCACAAAATCTAATGGGAAAATAACCATTAGTAACGTCTAACTTTGTGAAAATATAATTGAGGTAACCTTAATAGGATAATTACGAAACAAGTAATGGTAGCCATGAAACATAAAATAGGGAGTAAAAGTTGGTCAAAAATTCAAGTAAGGTTAAACCACTTCAGTCACCACATCAACAATAAGGATACACAACTGTTTAACTTGAATTTCTAGGATATGCAATTGTTCAAAAATGAAATAAGGATACACAACTGCGTAACCTGAATTTCTAGGATATATGCAATTGTTAAAAAATGATACGAAGTAATATTTATAGGATGTGCACTTAGTTCACTAAGGATAGCACTTGCCGGAGATAGTCAAGGATATGCATCTGGAACACCATTTTCAATACGGGATTGCTTATAGGGATTATAGAGGTTTAAAAAACTTCATCCACCACATTGGCAAAAATGTTTTCTGAAAGGGACAAACCTTATTGCATTCAAAGGATTGTCTATTTTGCCTTGCATTATTCATTTTCCATGTTGGTAAGATCTGCATAAACAATAACAAAATTTATGCATTGTCTGTTACAAGATAACTGAAACTTCTTAGAGAAAATTTTAAACAAGACTCATATATTATGCATTCTCTTCTGCGAAGTAAATGATTATAACGAAATAGCCATTGAAGCAATGATATGTACTCCTCTGTAATTTTTTGCAAGTAATGCACTCCCAATGAGGTAAGCACCACAAAACAACGAAGCAGTAATGAAGAGAGTGAAGAGACAAGATTTACTCTTTGGATCCGACAGTAGAGAAACCTGCAAAGATAATAAAAAATAAATAAAGAATAGTAAAAAATTTTGTACAATAAAATGTAGTAATAATAATTCAGATTGATATAGCATGATCCTTTTACTGTCTTTAGTGAGCAAATATTAGTGAGATGTCCCCATTTCACAATATTGCTACTATGGAAGCATGTCACTTATTTTAGATGGAAAGAACAATACAACAATAAACGGAAAAAGACAAAAACTCCATTTTTTGCTATTTCTAAATTATTTTAGAAGCTCAATTAGGTGTGTCCTACAAACAAATTTTTAAGGTGAAAAATTGCAAAAGTGTGTTTCTTTATAAGGTCCGGTTACTTTTTATTCACTTCAATTCCCTGTTTAATAGTTTATTTTAATTTTGTTAACTAATATCTGTTATACTTTCTCTTCTTGTTCCTAGCTTCTATTTTCATTATCGAAAAAATGTCAGATGCACCAAAAACTCATTTGCCAGCATTTTTGTTAGTCAACTATTAGAAACAAAACACAAGCTTCCACAAGTTCATCCAAATAGATCTCAATTAAGTGAGACAAACCACAAACCACGGTAGGGTTTGCACCAAGTAATCTATTCGTGGAGTGAGAAAGAGAGCATGTTGACCTTAAGAGCAGGAGCATCTAGATGTACACACAAATATATATTTAAAATGAGATTTTTATGCATCAATTGTTTATTATTAGGATAATATACTTAGTATGAATTCAAGCATGTGTCTTTTATATTTAAATAAACTAGGGCCATAACACGTGTCTATTTTTTCTTAAAATATAATTAACTTCAAAAGCAACTTGAAATGTTCGCCCGAGGATAACTAGTGTATAATTTACAGTGTTTGAAGCCGCAGAGTGGGTCTAACCTTTGTTGCCGCAACCTATACTATTATGTTAAATACCATGAATACAGAGAAGTGCCAGTTTTTATTTGTGAAAACGTTAATTCATCTTGAATCCACTGATTGCCTCATATGAATTTGTTTACATCAGTTTGCAAATTTCCAACAATTTCACCCACAATTTGCCAATTCGCAAATTAGAGCACAATTATGTATACATTTGTAAATCCAATGAAGTGTCCAACAAAAAAATTTGAAATATGTACAAAACGATAATCAAGACAAGGTTTTAGTGTACTGCTCATAAGACATCTAAAAGTTCACTGTATGCATATATGAAGACCTCCAAATCACCCGAATTCAGAACGAAAAAGGGGGGAGGGGAAGAGAAAGAGGTTCTTCCGGACCTTTGTTGCCAGAAATTTAAAAGGAAACTGAGAGAAATTAAAGATTTAGGTTTGGGATCTCTCATACTCAAATTTGAACTTGAGAAAAGTTGAGGGGATTGTGGGGCCATCATGGGTCCTGTCTTGATTATCTAAATTGTTCATTTTGTCAGGCACTTAATATATTTGATCAATCCGATAATTGTAACCTTTTTATTTTATCGCGTTTAGCTTTAAAAAAAATTAAAATTCGAACCATCCTTTTTTTTGGAGGCAAATACAATAATAAAATAAAAAGATTACGATTATGAAATGGACTTAGTTTTTTCATAATGATATACACGGATGACCCAACAAAGTGAACGGTTCGGTTCATTTCCGCAGTGGGTCCGTATGCCCCTAATTTGAATTTGAGAGAATTCCAACCTAAATATTTAAAAGTAACAATTTCTAGGATTGGAACCAAGCAGAACAAAATTGCAAAATTGAGTGTATATATACTCTTTTTTCTTACCAGGTAAGCAAGGTATGATAAGCAAACCGATTTCCAAAGAAAAAAACAAAACTTGAACATCTGGCAAGATAATAGCACAGGCTCAGCTCAGTGCGATAAATTTCAAATGTTTGGGGTATCAAATTATGGATTTTTAACTTTACTTTTTTCTTTCCTTTTCCTCTGTTTTTCTCAGCATCCAAACAGACGATGAAGCAACTTGAAACACACACACACAATACAAACAAATACCAATACCAATCTGTATATATGAACTTATGACCAATCAAAAAAAACCCATTCCAAAAAAACAAACAACAATTCAAGACAATCACAAAAAACAAAACAAAAATATAGAAATAGTGAATAGAGAGAGACTTACAGGATGGAATGACTTCATGTTGTATGAACTTGCCAAAAGAACATCCAAAGGGTGTCGGAAAAGGAGAAGATTGAAAAAAAATGGCTTTTTGAAGGAGAGGGAAAGTATGTATGTATGTATATATATGTAAAAGTAAAGGGAAGAATAAAGAGAAAGGTTACAGAGACAAGGCAATAAAGGAGGCTTGTGCAACGGTGAAAGGAAAGGAACACCGCTTTTAGTATACAATTTGAAAAGAAAAAATATGAAGAGAGACAGAGAGAGGACAGAGGTGCCAAATTCAAACCCACCCAACCACCATAGATGATGCAGATACAAGATGAGAGAGAGTGTGTGTGTGTTTAGAGAGAGAGAGAGAGAGAGAGAGAGGGGATAAACAACACTGGAATATTTGCTTTTTCTTCGGGTGCAGATACAATATGTTGTTTGAAAATGGAGAGAGAGATTCTTTTGAGTGGGGTAAATTAAAATATAACTTTTTTTTTATATATATTTTTAAAAGATTTAATTTTATAATAAATGATCTTTGACTAATAAATTACTATCAAGTTAATTAAGATAATAAATGATCTTTGACTAATAAATTACTATCAAGTTAATTAAGATTTTATTTAAGAAGTTGGTTATTTTAAATGGAAATTTAGTTTTTTTTTTTTTGTTTTTTTTTTTTTTTTGTTTTTTTAGCCTAATTAAAAAAAGGGAGTTTTTTTTTATAAATCTATTTTCTAATAGTTTTATTCCATCCAACCCATATTCTTTTTAACTATTCCATTAGGTCCAATTTGAGATAAGAAGACCAAAATACCCATTTCATCTACTTCTGTTCCATTTAGTTCACATTATTTTCTTATATTTCAATAAATCCTATGGGTGACATAATTACCAAAATACCCATAATGTAAATGTTCACACCGTTAATGTGAATGTTCATATCGTTAATGTGTAGGGGCCCGACCCATGTCGATCCTCGTGGGTGCCGGGAAAAATTCGAGTCGGGCCGGGCCGGCCCACAGGCCAAAAAAATAGGCCCGACCAGGCCCATTGATAATGTGAATATTCATATTGACAAGTTAACGTTCACATTGATAGGAGTGTAAAATTGGCCCGCAACCCGTGGGCGGCCCGAAGCCAGCTCGCCGCCCGGAGCCGACCCGGGGCGGCCCGTTCATAATGTGAATATTCACATTGATATATTAACATTAACAATGATAAGAGTGTAAAATTAGCCCATGACCCGTGGGCAGCCCGAAGCCCGGGTCCGGGTCGGGGCGGGCCCGCCCCGTGCAGCCCACAAGCCGCAGGCAGGGGTTAAACTTCTATCAATGTGAATGTTAACATGTCAATGTGAATATTCACATTG